AGTCTTTGTAGTTTAGTTAGTGAGGGTTTTTGTTTGAGTTTTGGTTTCAAAGGATAGATGTAGAGATAGGCCTGGTTTTGTTATGCTTGTTTCTTTTGTTTGGCGCAATCCTTTGACTCCTCCTCCTCCTCACCAACTAAGGTTTCAGTTACATGTCTGTTCGGTTCTGGGTTAAGAAAATAAACCTTTTGTAAACTGTTACGCTGACTCCCTCATTAATTATTGGTTGTATGTTATTGTCTCCAGGTCCCCTAGACCTTAGTGGGGACGTAACAGTCATATAAAGATGTGCCTTTACCTCACTGGTTGTAGAAAAAGCTTCTTATATTCGTTAGCATAGCTAGCTAACCAGATGCTAATAACAACAAAGTTATTGACTGTATGATCAGTATGACAGATGAACGGATCGCCACTGGGCTTTCAACTAAAGACAGCCACGCAGAAACTGCGGCATGTGTACGGCTCCTTATGGATACTGCAGTTTCTGAAGTGCCGGAGCGACGTTCTGGTGCTCTCCGTCAGAACTGCACCCCTGTCAGACGAGACGTATACCATGTGATGACACCATCTATATAAGGATGACACGTTAGGCTCGTGTTGTGTTCAAGGACCCTGACCGTGGCCAGGAAAAACAGGCACTCACTTGTTTAATTTTTTTTTTGCGATCTAGATTTCTTTAATTTTTTTCTTTTTTGCGTGTGTTAATAAATTACCTCGAGGGCCGTACCAAATGTTCTCGCGGGCCGTATACGGCCCGGAGGCCGGAGGTTCCCCACCCCTGCTCTAGCCGGACAATTTGTTGGTGCTTGAAACGAACCGTATTCCGGAGCTAAGAGGCTGCTCCGCTGCGGTGTGAACAGGAAAACCCAGTGCTTTTCAAGCTCCAGCTCCGAACCGGCCCTGAAACACCGTTGGTGTGAATGAGGTATATGAGACTTCAAAGGTCTTTTATTTTGAAATTCTACATCAGATTATCCTGATATTCTCTAAATGACTAGTTGGGGTGTCCTGCTATCACCCTTAGTGAAATAAGTCTTTGATAATTGACATTTTTTGTTTTATTCTTATCTAAAAACAGATGGACGATAGCCCATGAGATTTCAAAAGTATTTTATTTTGAAACTCCTTACATTTTACATTCAGCCAGTTATAATGTGGTAGTTATACGTAGTTTGTTTTAAATAATTATTGATCACATTATATAGTACATATTTCTTAATTTAAGCTCCAGTATGAATATGTTTGGTATGTTTTTTAGGTATATTTGTTATTGACAGAGTAAGCGCTCTTATTTTGAAGGCAGTTTTTCCAGGCCTCTACTGTAATGGATACAATATTCGCACACCGCAATACAACGTGCGGGCTGGCTTGACTGTGTTTTCCGAAGTGGAGGCTGGGCTGGCTTGACCGCAGTCTCAACCCCAGCCCCTGTAAAGGGACAATAAATAAGAAATAATATCAAATAAGTGAATAATGACCAAACCGATTTCATAAAAGGCCGCCTAGCCTCGGACTCTCAGGAGATTCCTGCACATCATTGACACTAGCAAAGAGGATACAACTCCAGCGGCCGTCTTGTCTCTGGATGCTATGAAAGCTTTTGATATCCTAGAATGGTCTTACCAATTGGCTGTTCTGGAGTCAATGGGGTTAGCTAAGGGGATCAAAGTACTTTATGCGGCACCGTCATCGATGATTTTAACCGACAAAATGATCTCCTCACTTTTTTTCCGTTTCAAGGTTTCATCTATCTGTAGGGCTGCTCCTTGGGTCCAGGGCCCTTTCCCTCTCACTCGAGCCACTGGCCCAATTTATAAGACAATCACAGGATATTATCCCCATTTCTATCCGAGGCTTGCATCATCACATTCCCCTTTACGCGGATGATGTACTGATTTTTATGCAGAATCCCTCAACTTCTGCAACTCGTCTGCTTAGGGCAGTGGTTCTCAAACTTTTTCTGTCAGGCCCCCCCTTTGGAGAAAAGAAAAAGTCGGGCCCCCCCCAACACAAATAGTCAGGCTCAGTGGTGGCGCCAGAGACTTATTTTGGGGGTGCTGTGGGGTAGTTTGACGTTTCATAGAGGGTGCTCAAACATTTAGGGTTTCCCATTAATGTCCCGGGCGCTACAGTGGAATTTTCTACTGCAACAATCCCCACGCAAATACACAGTGTACCCGCGACTGATACAATGAAGGCTCGATAATCAGCTCACGGCATATAGGTGTAAGTAGGGGTAAAGTGCTATTTTTATAGGTGGTGTGTGGACCTCACATAGGGGGGTCCGGGGGCAAGCTCCCCCGGGAAGATTTATTTTTAAATATTGAAGTTAAATGCATCAATCTGGTGCACTTTGAGAGCAATATGAAGAGATCTATGGATATATCTCTCAACACCCATATGAATCAGAACTGTAAACAGATTTACTTTTTCTTTATGTATATTTTACAAATCACCCTTTTAAACTTTATTCTTGTTTTACTGTCATATAGTATTTCATAGCTGTTTTTCATTTATTCTCTTATTTTTTTTATAACTATAATGATCATATAAACGTGTGCCTCGGAAATAATTGTTTACATTAATGGTGACCAAAACATTTGAGACCCACTGAGATAACACTGAGAGAGTCCTTTAGTTCACTGAGTCTCTCAGTCTGACAGGAGAGGACTCTCCTCCACTTTGTTGTTGAAAAAATTCCTTATATCCGTTAGCGTAGCTCGCTAGCACCAGAAGCTAACAACAACGATCTCCGGTACCGGTGCGCTCTCTCTCTCTCTCTCGCACACACAAAATGGCTCGTTCCACACACACACACACACACACACACACACACACACACACACACACACACACACACACACACACACACACACACACACACACACACACAGAGCCAAGCTTTAATGAAACACAGAGACCCAGACGTAATAGTACTGTACTGCATCATATTATTTTCGAATCAATAATTTTTCAATTTATGATTTTTGTATAACCCTCCCCTTCCGGTGTGACTCATGGGACCTTATTTCGGAAAACGTTTGTATTGAAGTCAATGGAGAGAGAAAGAATATCTTTTGATCCCGAAATATAAGACTATGAAAAATACGCAACTAGAAAGACTACAAATCCCAGAATCCCGGTCCCGACTAACTCCCCTTTTGTGTATGTACAGCTCTCAACATGCCCAGACTTGTAGTGATTTTCACCTCTTTTAATACTTTCCGCCTCATTCAGAAAGAAAGAAGTGAAATGTGCCAACGTGACGGCCGTCTTGGTGTGTGGTGCGAGACGGGAGATGTAGTTCATTGAGCGTTTCACACAAACAATTGTGTTACTTCACAGTTTTACGACACATTTTTTTTTTTTTACTTGCAAAAATATCTTTGAAATTGACAAACATCTTATGTGTAATTCGTGGCACAATTCAAACGGGATCGAAAGATAATCTTTCTCTCTCCATTGACTTCAATACAAACATTTTCTGAAATAAGGTCCCATGGAGGTCCACCGGAAGGGGAGGGACTTCGCCACTCTATAGAGGAATTAGGCAACCTATCAGGATTTAACATTAATTGGCCCAAATCTGCCATTTTACCTCTCAACGACGCTGCCAAATTAGCTATTCTCCCTGCAAACATTCCAGTGGTAAGAATATAAAGAATAATTATATATAAAAATAATATAGACACGTATAAAAAGATTCTCCAGGACCTCCATAGATGGTCGAGCTAGCCCATCTCACTACAAGTCAGAGCTTTAATAATTAAAATGAATACTGTGCACTGCGTTAAAAGTTAATCAGTTCAATGCTCCCTTTATCGCCCCCCATTGCTCATTGGCAGAAACTCCAGTCGGCAATCTCTGCATTTATTTGGAACAACAAGCAGCCTAGACTCAAAATGTCCACTACTCAACGGAGGAGGCTCGATGGCAGTATCACATTTTACATTGTATTTCTGGTCCTTCTCATTAGGACCTTTGCTTAATGGTTTGACCCCAAAGCTGTGGTTTCATGGTGTGCTTTAGAAGAGGAGTTAGTCTCTCCATGGAGACTCCAGGACACTATTTACAGAAACATATCTATCAAACAATGTCAGCTTAGGTTCGGTCCTCTTATAATAATGACGTATAGGACTGAGGCCTGTTCATTTTTCCCAATGGGAAGAAAAGGTCTTCACATCTCTGGAGATATTATGTCCTGATAGGTCTTGGGGTGGGAGGGTTTATTTACTTTTTTCTTTACTTTTTTCTACTTGTCTGATTGTTCTTATTGTTTTTTATTTCTGTATTTTTTGTTCTTTTATGTTGTACATTTTATTTTTCTAAAGTTTGTATAAATAAAAACACTTGATAAAAACAAAAAAACAAATGAGTGTATAATGATAAAAGCATTTTGGTGTTTTCATATTTAAATCCTTTAGACCATTTTTTTTATTATTTCAATAGTTATATGTTGAGTGGATATCTATTTATTTTTTATTTTGTTGTGACTGTCGACCTTCATTTAATTCATGCAGAAATTAACCCGTTAGGGAGGTCTTTTCGTCAAACGTTTTCAGTTATATAAAATGTATACAACATATATTTGTAGGCAAACAGTTACAAAACATGTCAAAACAGGTGACATGCCTGAAGGCCCTAATCAGTTGATAAATGCTTTAGTGAGGCAGTCTTTATAAATAATACTATTACCAAAAAAACGGATGTAATACACAGTCTATCAGGTTGGAGCCCCAGAGCCTAGTGGGTTTTCCAGACTTATTATTATCTTTGGCTCTCATCATGACAATCCTACTGATTCTAAAGATTTGAGGTGGCGTTTGAGTATGGAGTAGTACGCACTGTTTTACACTATAACGTGATATCTCCTCGTAAAATATACGAACTTTGATTCGCAGGATGTACGTCACGTCCGCTCTGAGGGGGAGATGTTGGTTTGCATCAGTAGTACCCCCTCCCGCCTGTGGATGTATAGCTCCCGCCAGAGATACAAGATAAACCTTCTCATCTTATCTTTAAATGTCTCTGTTCACATGCAACACTACAGATACTTTCACAATGTGGTACTCAACCAGTTGTTTCTAATTATCACCACACCAACACATGAACAGCCATTTCTTAATTAAAATAATAAAATTGCCTGTGTTTGCGGATACAAATAATACACATTTTAATATGTTATCCAGATAATAATAACTACTTTTAGTTGCATGCGTGCAGTATCTGCAGCTCCATCCTGCGGACAGAGTGTACCTCTGTGTTTTTATGGGTGGAGACTGGTCCTCCTTCAAACAAAAATAGACAGTCAGACAGACAAGACAAGTCCGTTTAACCATCAGCAGCATTAAAGGCCGAGGAACCTGGACATTATTTCCTGCGCATTTAGTTTTAAATCCCGCACAGGACATTGGATCATTGTGATAACCTTACCAAGCGAGGTAAGTGCGAAACAGTCGCTGGCTAGTTTGGGGTTCAGTTTGTGTAATGAGAGTCAGCCATCTGCAGAACAACAACAACAACATTTAGCCATATTACATACATACAAAACAGCCTCAAAGTAATCTCCCTCGACCATTGATGTAAAAGGGACATACATGAGGAGGAAATACGTGTAAAAGTCGATCGATTAAAGATGGGAAACACCGTTTAAGTAATGTTTTGTGTTTCGGGTGACGTGTCTGGATGTCTCAGCTAGAAGACTACAAATAGGCTAATTATGGCGACTAAAGTCAAAACAACCATATACCGTTGGTTTTGTGTTTTAATTACAAGTCCACTAATATCTGTCTTTAAAAGTGAGACGGCTACATTTATTAAGAATGTATATTGTGCAGAAATGTGGCAACTTTTAGCAAGTATCCGTGTTTAACCTGCCTGTAACGATAGCAAACGCTGTCTCTGCCACGAAACAAACGCTGCTGGTTAGCTAACGAAACGTAGCACAAGTTTTACTTGACAAGTCAGGCCTTTACACAACTACTCTTATTAATATATTTAGATATGGACCTTATATGATTTGATGATGTAATGATGTTGTATATCCATCAGTTAATTGTCAACACCACAGCTGCCAAAAGCGTTTCTTTGTTCATTTTAACTTGATAAACGCTATAGCTGTTTTCGTCTGAGCAGCTTTCATAACTTCACAGCAAGGCACGATTGACTGCTGAAGAGCAACAATAAAATAACAGAGAACACTGGTCTAAAATCAAATGACAGCTATGTGGAAAGTTAGGCCTAATTGATGTGCTAGCTAGGTAGCAATTTGGGATAATTCTACTTCATGGATATGGTGATAAAGTAAAACTGAATAAAGACACAATTTACATGAATAAAGAACATATAAATATATCTATACATGATCATAAAATGTATTAAACTATATATTTGTCATTAAAAAAATACACAAAACAAAAAAAAACATAAACAAACTCCAAAGACTTCAGTTAATTATATTTAAGCTATTCATATTTTGTTCATTCATCATGTTATGTGTTTACTACTGTCTTCCAAGTGGAGAAGATTACTTCAATATTGGTTCTTTTTTTAAACCTGTGTGCAGCTCTGTGGTTGACTGTGAACAGGTCGGCCTTGTTTTAGGAGCAGCACACTCAAAGCAAGCTCCTCTTATTTTCTTTATACACTGTGCACACATAACAGCCCCATTTCTAACTATTTACTCAACGTAAGTCTTTCTGTGAAGACTGTTGCATATATATAAATGTTGTCTATTTGGGCTAGCAGCTTTTAATTACATAAAGAGGTTGTCATATTAAGGGAAAAGGAAAAAGGGTTGTTCCTGCTGTTGTCCGCTTAACAAAAATGTAATGCAACAACAAGCATGGATCTCAATCACAGTTTATATCATAGCGGAAATAACTTAAAAGGACAATGATTTCATATTACACTGAATCTCCTTCTTATAGTTCTCTACATTGTATAGCTCTGTCAACCCAGGTACTTGTCTCAGTTGGTAATTCTGTCATGTGTTTTTTACCAGAGAGATGAGTGAGGCGGAGCAGGTGCCTGAGGACATGCCTGCATACCTCAACCATGAGACAGTAGCTACAGGTAAGTTTAGTTGCAAAAGTACTTTAACAGTGACACATTTCTGTTGTTGACCCAAATCTGATTTAGATCATGTTCTTTAAGAAGTTATGGGACAATGTGGAAATACAGACCTTGGATTTCAAATAGTGATTGGGTGTTTCTGAAGGAATCTGCCTTTGGTCAAATAAATATCTGCAGATTCAATAGGTTACCAAATATAGTAAGTTGTATTGTTGGAGGAGCCTAGTTTGTAAAATTACACTTTTACTTGTGTTTTGATGCATTATGTCTGATTTCACAAGTGTGTAAGTCGCTGTGTGCATGTTCAAAAGAATGCACTATGTAGTAAAGTTCCATTTGAGCTGCGTATACAGTTAACATTAAATGAAATGTAAGGGCTTAACAAAACTGTGAAAAAAGGAAGTGATGTAGTTTTTAGAGAATTTCTTAGATGATCGGCAGGAAAAAAACTATAACTATTTTGATAATCAAAGTATTTAAAAAAATATATTTTATGTTAAACCTTTTTCTGGTTACACCTTCTGTGTAAGTGCAAACAAATGTAATTTGTCTTTGTCTTACATTGGATACAGTCTATCTTGAAAGTACGTACTGTACTGTCTTGTATAACATATTGTGTGTGTTGTAAACCCAGGGAAGTATAGCTGCTGCTTCAGCTAAAGATATGGGGATCCTAATAAATAAAATGATTAAATAAAATAAGTGATGCTTTTTATTGTTAAAAGACCAAACAATCAAGAGATTCATTTAGAAAATAATTGTCTGGTTAATTTGTTATCTAAAGAAACACAAGCTGCAGCACTGGTTCAGAGCATTTATGTCTTTCTTCTTATTTAGCAGTGACGTATTGAACTAATGTTGCTTTTGTTGTTTTAAAGCAGATGACGACGACAACAACAAGGGCCATCCACAGACGCAGCCGGGCATGTTCAGCCGGTTGGCGGGTGGCTTGTACGGGGCCACAAAGGGAGCTTTAGGAGCGACAGTGGGCGGTGTGGCCTGGATAGGAGGAAAGGGTCTGGACCTCACCAAGACCACCGTCTGCTCTGTAGCCTCTCTGCCTGGGATGGGAGTTGGGCTTGTTAAAGGAGGGGTGTATGCTGTAGCTGGAGGAGTGACCGCAGTCGGCTCTGCTGTGGTCAGCAAAGTTCCTATAGGAGGAGGCAAAAAAAAGGACAAGTCTGATTGATGGAGAGAAGAGTGAACCTACACAGCTGAGGTGTCATGGCTCGCACTGTGTTGTCGCCTGTGTTAGCATTCATGAGCAGGAAAAGAGCAACAGAAGACTCAAAAGTATAGTGTGCACATTGTAGGTGAGGGATCGTTTTCTTTATTTAGTTTTTTCATGTGATTGTTGGTGACAATTCATATCATTATGTGACTAGGACCCACAAAACAAGAACTTACAAAGACTCTCCTGCTCTGTTGTTAAAGGAAACACACTATTATCACCAGTGCCTGATGAAATGAAATGTTCTAATAAAAGGTCCATGTTTCATTTTTGATAATAAGCAACAACACTGTTCTCACTGGAAAATGTTGTATTCAACAAAAAGTTAATCAGCGGAGACCAGAGGAAAAATAAGCTCGGAGGGTAAATGCACCTATATTTCACTTGCAAGACAATCATTTATGATTTAAAATGCCTTTGTTCAGCTTGCACAAATGAACAAATATTTCCGATTAAAGATGTCATTGAAAAGTACAGTTCAGTATAATATCTAAACCATCTGCTGAAGACAGTGGACTGTGGATATTTCACTGGTAAAATGTTCCTCTGAATTCAACTTGCCCTCAGATGGTTATTTTCTCCCCTCAGTGAAAGGCAACTCATACTTTTGATACAGAATCTGATTTATTACGATAAATATTGTGTGAGAATATAACAGTCAGATTATTTTGATTGCAGTGAACCTTATTTTGTCGTAGTGTTAATTGATTTACTGGGACTATCAATAAATAACATTTTGTATATGACACTTTTTTTGACCGCCTGTACATTTTGATAGTTACTTTTGGTACAGATGCTTCATAATGACATATATCTCTCCCACTGTACCAAAGCATTAGTGCTCTATCCGAGCAATAGTGTTCCATAATGCTTATCCTCGCTGTGCTTACTGTTGATGCAATCTGATGGCACATTTTCAATTTCAATTACATTTATAAGATGACAAACCTGTAACATTTAATTTGTAAAAAATAACTCTTCTGTAAATTACCTCTTTCTGTAATATGCCATTGAAAAATGCACAATGCGGCCTAACAATAGGACAAAGATAGCTGCTGGAGTTGGTGCTTCAATGTGACTAGACTGGTAACCGGGTCACAAATTCTTATCATTTTGCAGCTAAAAGGAACAGCTAAATGTCATTTGGGCTCGACGGTTTCAGCAAATATGAGAAAAAGGTATTTTTTATTAACATTACCAGCTACAGCTTCATCTATTTTTTTCACAGGAAATGTTAAACTTGTTTTCATAATGTTTTGGCAATAACTCGCTTTTAGATAATTTGAGTGTCAGACCTGAAGGTAATCAAACTATCCAACGTCATGTGGTATAGCTTTCAGCAACTGATCTTGATCTTTTAGGGGAAGACTTTATCATCTGCTGAGAAGTTCTGTCCCTTTTATAGAAATCCTTTAAATATCTTGATCATGTCTAATACTTGAGGGATAACTGTTCAACCAGAAAAAGTAAAAAGAGTGCATAGGGTTACCTTGTCCGACACTGTTAGTAACTAAGGGCTATTGATTTCTTTACAAAACCAAACAGCTTGACTGATGCTATAAGAAACCCATTTTCAATCTCCCTAGATTTTCTAAAAATGTGAAACATTAAAAATAATATGTTTTATGAATTGATTCTGAATATTATAAATGTGAGATATTGTTGTTTAAATTTGAAAAGTTTTATTTTTAAAAAATCCCAAAATTAATATAAAATCAAATTGAAGTACTGTCAATACCTGGTGATTTTCCTTTTTTTCATTGAGAAAATAGCTGTTTTATACGGAGCCCCCTAGGGAACATGGCGAAGAAGAAAAAAAGAAAAAAATTAGATCTCGCAAAACCCCTTTGCGAGATCTCGCAAAACCACTTTGCGAGATCTCGCAAAACCACTTTGCGACATCTCGCAAAACCACTTTGCGACATCTCGCAATACTTTTCATTTAGTACTTCCTGGTCAGTTCGGCTGCACACAGAAACCACAACAATGGAGTGGTTTATCGATTTTACTTTGAGCTTGGCCTTAAATATAAAGATATAAAATCAGTGCTTGGCAATAGGCACGGGTTTCACACAGACTGTATATATAAAGGGTTTCACATAAGTGAAGACACCTCAAGAGAACACTCGAGGGGACATGCACGTCCCTCTGAGCTGAGTTATTGACAGATTCGAATTTCGCGGATCAATAACTCATGAACATAACTGTTACGCTCCCTATTGGGCTAGGGGAACCAAAAGGGAAGCGACACGACCAGATTGGAATTGGTAATAATCATAAATGGGTTTATTATAAAGCAAGGTGAACAAAAATGGCAGGCAAGCAGCCTGAACAAACAAAAAGACCAAAAGGGCACCGGTTGACAATAACCGAACAAAAGGAGAACTCAAAAGGAGTCTAAAGGCATTCAGAAAGGAATAGATAATAACAGAACTAAATAGAAACAAAAACCCTCACTATAAAAGTGGTACAGACTAACACAGGAAATATATACAAAACACACAGCTAAACTAAAGGCAACAGTCCCAAAAACCTAAGCTACTCTAACCTCTAACTAAGCTACTCTAGGCACTACTAACACACAATATCACACTACCTGACACAGCCCACACAAGTTAACCCCAGAACGAAAGTAAGTAGCGAGAGGCGTCTGTCCCACAATACAGAGCCTCCAGAGTGGTGATAGTCCGCAGCCTTTGTACTCCTCCCCAGCAGGTGTGCGCCGGCTGTGCGCTGCGATTGGACGACGTCAATCCAATCCCCATCTTCAGAGGCGAACCAGAGGATGGGCAGCTAATGATGTTGGGGCAACCATACAGCTCATTTGCATAATCACACACGCACACAGCTGCAAACAATCCCAGACAGGTTACTGAGCAGGCAGAAACAGCAGCCGTAACAATAACGTTGTAAAAATACAAACAACATGACTTTACAATCATAGCAAGGTAGACAACGAGCTACAGAGTCGTTTTTATCAGAACAGTTCGATACGCGCCGTCATCCGAGCTAAACATCAATAATTGGTCACAATCTGCAGCTGGAGGAGGGAGAGGAGTGCTTAGGGACCGTCTACAAACTGCAACGGGGTTTTGCGATATCTCGCAAAAGTATTGCGAGATCTCGCAAAACATTTTATTTTTATTCAAATAATATGTTTTTTCTTCTCCATGTCCCCTAGGGGGCTCCGTAGTTTTAAGAGTATTTTAAAGGTCACATGTCATGCTTTTCCGGTTATTACCCGTCCCCTTGTGTGTTATGAAGGTTTGTATGCATGTAAACGGTGAGTCAAAACCAAGCGGCAAACTGTGGGGTAGAGCCGGGAAGCCAATACGGAAGTGCCACACACTGCAGTTCATATATTGGCCGATAGGCGATGGCTGCAGAAAGGAGCAATTTCCATAGACCCCATGTTAAAATGCCCAACTTTACAGCAGAAAAAAACATGTTTCTACCCCTGGCTCCATACATTGTATTATCGATATAGTTAGATTCCACCTTCATGATTATGGATCTGTGAGTGAATTGTTTTCTAACGCGACCCTTTTATTTATATTAGGTCTTAAAGTTTGTGCATAAATTAGGGCGTGGTCACATTGAGTGACGGCTCTGTCAAGTGCCTGCCGCTGTTAGCTTCTTGTCTCTCTGCTAGCTGCTCCGTGAAACTAGCTACAGGGACTCTGCCTGCTCGGCTCATCCAGGAAACACAACTTGTAGCCGGCCGTGGTTGTTTGTTATTCATGCTTATATATCGGACTATATATGTGACTCGCTCTGCGGTTAAAACAGACGCTGCATGAATGCGGTTTTGCGGTAAGTGAAATTCTAGTGCTTTATTTATGTATTAATGATTTTAATCAGCTACGTAATGAATGGTAAGGCTTGGGTTAGCATGTAAGCTAGTGGTAGCTACATCGGTGCTAACGATTGTAATCGTAGCCTCCAAGTTAAAATCATAGACTGTATATATAAAGGTTAAAACGAAATAGACAAGTGTTAAGTGGGATAATACTGTTGAACAAACGGCTTCTGTTTGAGGTTGATAAAATAAGGTTACATCCTTGTAACTTAGAGATATTTTATTATGTAGGTAGAACTGTATGCATCTAAGGTTAATTTAAATTGGCTATGCTCAAGTATGTAGACAAGCTAATGTCGAAGTAGTGTATGTGAAATCAACCTCACAATAAGATGTGTGTATATTACAATTATTAATGTCATATTTCAAGATGATTACTTAGATATTACAATATGGTTGGTTGAGCTGGAGTTCATTATTGAGCTTACACGTTAACGTCACAGTCATCTGAAGAACGAACCCAAACCTTGTTGTTTTTATGAATTGTATTACCAAATGGGTATCAAATAAACAGTAAGCATTGGTAACACAACTTCCAAAGTTACAGTAAAATAAAAAGGCCCCTGACTCGGACAATACACAATCCAACATGTTCAACAGAAGAGAATCAGTTATATTGTTTGTACACATGGTACTTTACATATATATATGTTTGTTTAAGGTGTCCAGGTGATGCAGACAGGCTGGACCAGAGAGTGAGAGACAGAACTGGACTCCTCACAGCAGTGAACTTCAGCACAGGTACAAAGACTCTTTTGTCATACTGTACAAAGAATCAAGAAAGATATTGGTTTAAATGAATGAAGTATTGACTTGAATACACTGATATACATTCCATTAAACAATATTAAATACTAGATCACCTACACATCAGTGAAGTTGAGGGTTTTTTCCATGCAAAAAGTTACATTTAGATGATAACAAGCAATATGACTTTGTCAGCTTTCTAATTTAATGTATTGAAGGCAAAGATATTTAACACATAGTGAGAACTGCTACTATTTATCTCTCAATATTGTCTGTAAAAAACGTGGTAAAAGTTATTCTTTCAGTGAGACAACAGAGCAAGCTTCTACAGTTGCACTACGTTTTGATAACAGTTAAATATTATTTTGATCATAACATATATTTCAATGTTGATGAACTTCATACTGTTCATTCATAATCTGATTGTCTTTGTAGCTCATTGTTGAAATAAAAAAAAACATTACAATTACAAAATAATTATATCTACAGCCCCTAAACACACAAACACACCGCTTTCATAAATAACACACTTGTTCTGCAATAATATGTTTTATGTTTCCTGTCATTTTTGTTAGGAAAGGACATGCCTGAAAGACAGGACATTTTCTCCTTCTCTGAGGGTCAAGAAGAACATCCAAGAGGAACATTAAAAGCTGATGTTATGAGATTTTAAGACCAGTACAGGACATTCACTAAGAAACTACTTTTATTGTAAAAACAGTCAGCTGATCGAATGTAGCTATTTCCACATCTACACTCCATCAGCTGATTATTTCTATTTGCCTCACTTTATGAGCTTCACAACATATACCTTGTTTTGCAACGTCACAAATAAATGGGGCCAATCTTCAGTCAGATGTGAATGTGTAATCTAACATTTTCAGTAAGAATAATGGACAAAAGGAGTGCAAATACAAATACAATTTATTGAAATGTGAACCAAAAGTTAATCAAATGTTTTAAATATAAAGCACATATGGACAGAAGGTGTAAACCTATTAAATGTATTAAACACATTTAGTCAAATAAAGTGACCGACTAGGCCTGTGCAGTTGGTATCAGCTATGGTCAAAACCCTCAAAGTACACCATGTAGCGAGTAAACTCTAATACAGAAAATACCTCCCCAAAACGCCTCGTTGG